CACTTATAGAATGGCCGAACTGACTGCTGACGATCGTCAAGTTTACTCTACCACTTCTCACATTTTCCAATTTAAATCTTGGAAGATATTCCGAAACGATGATGAAGATCAACTCAGTGGTGAGGAGGACGAGGATTATTTCAGTGAGGAAACAAAACAGTTGTCGGCTGCAAAACATCCGGTTGAGGATAAGAAAATCCCACCAAAGCGGATTCCAAAGACACCAGGATACCTCAAGGACTATCAATTGTAGCTGACTCTGGGGAACTTTCTTTTTGTGTATATATTAAAAAAAAATATTATGTTATTTATGCTATTTTATGTTTAAAGGATTATGTAACGGCAGTAACACCTGGTCAGGTCCGAGGACGAACCTGATGTCAGGAAGGGTCGAGTTGTTAGCTTTATTTTCATAATTATTAAAGAATGGCTGCACTGACTGACGTCAGTCGGGACAGGGTTCCGGCAGACGCTAGTCAATACCTACGAGTAGTATGTCGACGACGACGATGCCGTGTTTGTGTCCGTGTCCGTGTTCGTGTATTGACATCAATAAAGTTTTGTGTCTCGATAACTTTTTGGTTTTCTTAATTTAATATTCTTATTCTAACATTAATTATCTTAATCAAGGCCGTATCTGGGAAGGGTCCAGAATATCTGGACCACCCCAAAAATTTCTTCAATATTTTACGAATATGCAAAATAATTATTTATTTTTATTACCAACAGAAATATTTTCAGTCAAAAATTACTGAAGCTCCAATTAAACATTGACTGCTTTTAATTTTATATCATATCATATGAAAATGATATTAATTTTAATGGATGAAGAGTAAATCTTTATCTGTCTTATTTTTAACCAAATATCAAAAGTTAAAATTAAAATTTAATAAAATTACAATACACATGTTTTGGACTCTTCCCAAAAAAAATTTCTAGATACGATCTTTATCTTAATTCTTGACTTGATAATAATTTTAAATATTATAAAATGTTTCTATATGTATAGGTATGTAAACAAATAAATAAACTTCGCCTGGAGTATTATTATATTTATAAAGTACGACCAGTTTCGAATTAAAAATTCATCATCAGGCATATATAAAGTTAATAACATTGCGACTGAATACGAGTATGAAAAAATAAAAACCATAACTATTATCCACAATACGAATAATACATTAGTTTACTTCCTTCTATTACATGAATTGGAAGAGAAAAGAGATGCTGAATTCCATGCATAAAAAATGTAAATGTTCTTGAAAATTACATAGTAACATGGAATGATATTCCTCCTTTAATTTTTCTATATATTAGATATTAATTTAAAATTTTGAAAAAATTAACTAAGAAATAAGAATATCTACTATAAAAATTGCATTTCACGCTAGATGAGCTCTGTTTTTCTGTCTTTGGCAACTCAAGTACGGCTTCGTTTAAAATCTTAAAAATTGTTGTAAGTTAATGATTATTTTGGAAGTAGTGTCAATGGAATCTCCCTTCTCTCAAGCCAGTGGCGTAGCCAGGATTTTTAAATGGGGGGGGGCTAACCACTTTTTTTGGATAAGTAAGGTAAGAGAGGATATGAGAATTCAGCCTTAACCCCCCCCCCCCACCATCTACCATCAAGTTTCTAAACGTAATTCAAGCATTTTAGTATAGTTTTCAAAATATTTATTAATATATAATTTATAATAATAATAATAATTTTGGTTTCAGTGTTCAGTCACTTGCTCCACTCTGACAGCTGCATTCTCTTAGGCGAATTTCTGGCAAATTCAGTTATTATTTCACTTTCATCGAATTGCTCTTTTTTATTTATATTAGCCATAGCTAACCCATTCAGTCTGTTTTCCAACATGGTGCTTCTTAAAAAATTTTTTAAGCGATTAAGTGCTGAAAACGTTCTTTCCGGAGTGAAAGAGGTAACTGGTAACGTGGCGAATAATTGTAAAAGTATTTTTATGTTAGGTCGAAGATTGGTGCGATGAGAGAGTGAATCAAGAGCAGAATTCGGTTTTGGAATAGTATTTTGACTCCATTGTTGCCTCCATATGAACAGGTCAGCTCTGATTATAGATGAAGTATCATCATAGAGATCTTGGAGATATTTTAGCAGCTTTTATAATATTTTTATTGTCATACATATTTAAATTGGCCGGAATAAGTCCTTCAAGTGGTATAACATCAATATGCCTTTGATTAAAACGAGCATTGATTCTATTAAATATTCAAGATACATTATACATATAAACACGGCTCATGGGGAGGCTATAGCCCCCTTAGCCCCCCCCCCCCCCCCTCCTTGGCTACGCCACTACCTCAAGCCGTCCAGCCTGGTAAAAATGTCATCCAAATTACTTATTGTATTATGTTATATAGATTGTACATTTTTTCTATTTTAATAAAAAAAAAAAATAAAAAAAGTTAATGATTATTATGTCATATTAGTTATTGTTTTGTTCGCATTAGCTGTGGCGACTTGGACCTAAGATGGACAAATGGTAGAGCGCCGCCTATTCCAGACATCCCGATAACATTCGCCCCATCCAGATGTAACGAGCAGCACACCTTGTTTCATGCACTCACGCGGCTAATAACGCGAATATATTCGTTTGATGGTTACACTGCAAACGGCGATTTTTCGACTTTTTTTGAAAATTGAAAACCATCGTCGTCGCAGGAGCGTATTTAGACTTACTTCTAGGGGGGTAGGTCTCAATTTTTTCTTTAATTTAGGCTCAAAATTTACAAGTAACATTTTTGGTAATATTTAAATCAGATGAATCCTTAATATTTATGAGTTTTTTTTTTTTTATTTAATACCAGTTGCACTTAGAATCGATTTTGTGCAGTTCTTTTTTAACACCTGTCTGTGTTTTGAAAGTTGCGCTTGTATATTATTTGATTTTTCACTAAGTACGGACAAGACAAAAAGCCCAATTCAGTATTCACTTCCATGCGTAGTTTGATTTTGTTGTAAAATGATCTACATTGAAAAAATTTGAAATGTGTGTCTCACATAAAATAAATTCCTTAATACGGATTCAGGGGGGGCCAATATCCCCCTCCCCTCTTAAAATACGCCCATGCGTCGCCGGTGGTGTTATGTGATTGTTAGAGTTTGTTCATTTGTCATATTTTGCTAGGTGAAAATAAATATCATAATATGAACATCCATTTCGATTAATCCACTCCGTAAAATGTACCAATCGTATTGCTAATAAAATTGTATCTTAATGGTTTAACCCTAATACTTTGGTCTTTTGTTTGCTTTTTTCCATAATGTATTTTATGCTGTTCATATTTATGGTTGTTCATAGTTAATCATTACCAATTGTTTCTGTATACATTTATAGTTATAACTCATTGTATGTGCATTTTGTTTAATTGGAAACTGGTGTAAAATTTGATAAATTAAATACATAAAAGAAAATTACAAAATTAGATAGAAATTGTGTTTACACCGTGACCGATAGTGAAAAGCGATAATATTAATTAGGAGAACGTTATTCATCTTCTCCCAAGAAGAAAGCACACTTTTCAGCAGATCAAACGCGTCGTATTGTGTATTAACGCGGTACGAATTATTACGCATGGGGTCGCATAGTTTTTGCTCGGACTTGAAGCTGGATAGACGCGCGTTTATGGATTTTATACAGTCGCCGACAATTGGAAAATATCGTATTCACGTAAAAAAAATTATAATTTTCATGCGAAACCACGATAAATAATAACGAAACAAATATTATCTTACGAATTTATTTATTTGTATTCGTATTCGTAACATTTTTAAAGTTATTATGTACAAAGAAGCAATGCGTTTATTCCTAAAAATCCCTATGTATGTAGATAAAATAATATGGTATTTGTTTCGGGTTTTTTTAAAAAAATTATTAGTATTATTAGTATTATGAAACTCTTAACCATATCAAGTAGAAATTTGTAACTACATCGTTGTTTCAAAAACAAATTACTTGAATACTACGAGTTTACCCCATTAGAAATTTACTGCACAAGTAAAATCTATGATCTAACTTTAAAGACAATAAAAAAAAAAAAAATCTTATTAGTAAATGTTGAATGTATCCCGGCTGAAGGTAATTAATGTTAAGTATTCAGATGAAAATTTTTATTTATTTATTTTATCTTAATACGGGTTGCAGCCCAAAGTACAGAATATAAATTTAACATAATATAATAGTGTAGTAGACATAAAAATTAAAATAAAAAAGCAAATAGACAGAGAAAAATGTCAAACTTGACCTAAAAACTAAAAGACGGATCCTCATTGGCAATACGCATTATCCTATTTAGTGGTTTGTTACAGGAATAATTTGTAGTACATAGTGGAATACTGAAAGGATAGGAAGAACGAACCTGGACACAGGGAATTTTAAAGTTGACTTTGGATAGAAGTTCAGGACAGTCGATCGACCATAGATTATAGGAGACTAAAATAATAGTATTAAATAATAGTTTTCTATTATCTATGTGATCGACCCATTGATGAGGTTGACTGGGAAGACCTTGTTAATGGTGATACGTCTACTGGCCAAAAATTGTAAACCTAACCTATGTATTACTGCATCATAATCATGAGGTCTATGTTCAATATTTAATAGATATGCTGCAAAACTCAAAAACTTTCGTTGGACCCTTTCAAGTTGATTCATATTGCTTGCAGTGTGAGGATCCCATTAAAATTAAGCAATAAAAAATATTTAAATAAATTTAAGAGACTGCGACTTTTAACTGATATCGTTATCATGCATAATTATCGTTTTTCCGATAAGAATAAATGATAAAATAAAAATTAATAAAATTATTGGTCAGTATTATTTAAAATTTAAATCTAATAAACATGAATACGAGATCTAGTATCATAATTATTAATAATTATTAATACAACAATATATTATACATTTTTTGATACGATGGTATTTATACTTATAAGTCTTGTATTAAAAAATGTTTACATTTATTTAATTACAGTTACTTAATTCTTGTTAACATTATTATTTTTTTTTTCATTTGTGTTTAAAAAGTCTGTACAATTAATTTTTTTATCATAGATACAATGGAATGTTTAATTCCCGATATTTTATTCACTCTACTTGGTCATAAGTCAGAAGTATTACAATGTATTGTTGACAATGATACTAATTTTACTGACGATGAATACTTTATTTTGAGCATTGAAGATCGGCAGCTGTTAAAATGTTTTTTGAACTTAGCTGAAGAGTATCAGAAACTAAACATCATTATTATGTCTCACAAACGATTAGAAGGTATCTATAAAAAACCAGATGATAACAAACGAGGTATTTACTTTGAAGCTTTTGTTGATGGTATGTACCTTGCATTGCAACCGTATCGCAAATGTGTAAATGATATAGAAAAAGAATTGTCAAATAATAAAGGAAACAAATGTTTATTGGCTGAAATATTGAGGAAAGTAGAGCGGTATAAGCCATTAATTGTTGCAATTAATGACATTTTAGAACAGATTGAATTTTCTCGGTTGTATGGAGGACAAATATTAAATCTCTTATATGAAGTAGTTACAATGAAGTTTATAGATGACAAAGTTCAGTTATCATTTATATTCAAACAATGTTTGCAGGTAAAAGTTAATAAACTATTTTCAGATTAACATATTAATATATTTAAAAAATCTTAGTTTTATTTATTTTAACTGTATACAATTAATTAATAGTGAAATTTTGTTAATTTAATCATACATTTGATTTTTAATGACATTTAAACTGTTACAGGTATTGATATCACAATTGAACACATTTTTTGCACGTGGAGTGATTTTCGACCCATACCAAGAATTATTTATTGAACCAAAATTTTCTAAGAATACCCAAGAATTTAAACATTTTTCTTTACAACCCAGTTTAATACCATCATTTGTTCCTCTTTCAACCGCAAGCAAAATAACAAGAATTGGTGATGTAATTAAAAGTTTACAACAGTCACACAACCAATCGTTACTGATAAACTTCAGAGATATATCCACAGAAATATATGGGCAAAAAAAAGATCAGTTGTTTTCTGATTTACTTAATTTAGGAAGTGTTCCATTATTTACTAAAAATGAATTTGTCGAAGTGATTGATAAATTTTATAATGTAGTTGATGAATATATGTTAAAGGCGTCTTTTAATGAAGACAGCTTTGTAGACCATATGAAATTAATTAGAGATTTTTACTTGCTGGGAAATGGAGAGTTTTATAAGCATTTCTTGAACAAAATAAGCAGTTTATCTCAAAAAACTGAACTTAGTTTACGAATTATTAAAGTAGCATTTACCAATACAGCTCAAGATGTCAAATTACATAAATCTGTACGTAAAAAATTTGAATTCAGTTCATTGATTAGTACAAATGCTGATGAAACAACTTGGACAAATGTTAAGCTTATCATGGAAACTAAATGGCCATTACAGTTCATATTCACCAACTCAGTTCAAATTAATTATTCAAAATTGTTCTCTTTTTTATCACGAATTAAAAGAGTGCAAACAAATTTACATGAAATATTCATTGAAAAGAAATCATCTTACTGTCAAAATGGTCATATTGATCAGCTAAAAACTAAATTAATATTCTTAATAGACACTTTATATAGTTATCTTCAAACAGATGTTATAGAAGATGAATACTTTTTGCTCTTGGAAAAATTATCATATGCTAATGATTTCCAAACCATCAAACACATACATGACATTTTTCAAACAAATATTATGAGGGATTCATTTATGTTTCTGGATGAGGTGTACATGGCTTTTAATATAATTTTGGATATGTGTGAAAACTATTGTAGGTATATGACTGATATTACAGCAGTTTTAAATCCACAATATAAACAGTGTTATGACGAGTTACATTTATTGTTTACTAAAAAACCAAATAAATTAAATAAATTGTTAAATACAATTCAAGAAATTCAAGTGACTCCTAAACCAAATCAGTTTCTTGTGAGATTGAATTATAATAATTGGTTAATAAAATCAATATCTAGTGATACATAAAAATTATTATAATATATTTTTTAAGAATATGTATTTATAATTTTACTTAATTCAATTTAATCACTTTTATTTCTTGATGAATCAAATAACTAAGTATTAAATATTTATATGATTTTGTTGTATTCAATTTTTTTTTAAACTAGTATAAATGAACTATTATGATTATAAACACTACATTTTGAAAAAAAAAAATAATAGAAATACAAACATTAAAACTATTATGACTATAGTAAGTTATCTTAATATTTTTATAACATACATATGTATATAATTTTTCAATTATATCTATAAATATCAATGTAAATTAAATTAAATTTTTAATAAAATGTCCTATTTTACTATATTATGTGTACATATTATTACAATTGTGAATTTGGTTTAGGTTATATATATAAAAAAAAAACTAATTAGGTCAACATTTTATATAAATTTAAAATTTTATTCATAAATACAAAGAATAGTTGTTACATTTAATTTCTGCGTAATCGATTTGCAGCTCTCATTGCTTTTTCCAATTCAAATTGCCGCAAGTCAATTCTCTCTAAGAAGTCTTTTTTTTCCAAGTACCTAATACAATAAATATTTCTTAATAATTTTACTGTGGAGAATATTTATAACTATTTTATGAACAAACCCATCTTTTCCTTTATTATATGTGACCAATTCTTCAGCAATTCCTTCTCTTTTTTTGTAACTATCCCAATCTTGTTTGGTTTTTTCTAAAACTGTCAATTTATCTTTTTTACCTAATTGACTAAGTACATTTGCCAAACCACCAGATGATTTTTTTACAATTGGAACATTAGTGGTTTCAAGTTTTGGAGACTTTGGTTTTGTTGAGTCATTATCATTTTCTATCCTGAACAAAAATAATATAATTAATACCAAATAATGTACAAAACACTTAAAAGTAAGAATTGAGTATAGTTTAGGTCAGCAGTTCTTAAACTGTGCTCCGCGGAATCCTAAGACTCCGCAGAAGAAGTCTAGGAGCTCCGTGGACATATATTAATTATCTAAATTTAAATATAATTAAATTTCTTACTTATTGAGGAAAAACAATGGTAACCTGAATTGTCCAACGAGTTATACGTTTTAGTGAAACCAATTTTATTTACAACCAAGACTTCTCAAATAATTTGGTTATTATGACTTCATAACTTGGCTGGCATTTTCACAAAATTAAATGAAGTAAATTTGTCAATACAACTTAAAATGATCAAATTTTTCATAGCAAATGACAAAATCCAAATTTTAAAAAAAATGAAATTTTGAACTGTGTGTTTTTCTCAATATGAAATATTAATAATTATTGTTTTCTTGAATATAAATTCCTGATTTTCGGGCTCCGTAATTTTTTTTTAAAACATAAAGGCTCCGCGGACAAAAAAGTTAGAGTACCACTGGTTTAGGCAAATAATAGGCAATACATCTATGGCCTTATGTATAATGTTTTTTAAACAATTTCATATTTGGTTGAATTAAAAATATAAATACACATTGGGAGAAATTATACTTTTACCGTAAAAATAAATACAATTTTGTAAAATTTGAGTACACATTTTTTTCTAGATTAAAAATATCAAAATATAATTGTGTAACAATTAAAATAATTATTAGGAAAAATATAAATTAATATTATTATTGACCTACTTTTTAGATGAGCTTGAAGTGCTAAACAACTCTTCAAAGTTTCTTTTTTTGGTTGCTTCTGGTTTGTCAGAAGTTTTTGACGATTCTTTTAATTTAGATTTATTTTCATTGGTATTTGGTGTAGTGGATGTAGATTTTTTTACTACTGGCCTCTGAAATTCTTTAAATGATCTAAAAATTAGTAGTGTATCTAAACATTCTAACATGTTATAATTTTGATGCCATTGTAAGATTTTCAAAATCCATTATTTATACAAAATAATATTTACCTTCCCATAAAGCATCTAGACGTTTTTTATCTTCTTCAGAAGAATTGAGAAGAGTATTTACTTCTTCTTTGCTTTTTTCAACAGTTTCATCATCAATTTCTATATTAAAATTAACAAAAAATATTTAATACATACAATTATTTACTAATTATTATTTTACATTTTTTTAATTTTCTTTCGTGATGCTTTTTTTCCCTTAGTACGTTTTTTAGAAGTTTTTTTTGATTGGTTTGCAGATGATTTTGTACCATCATTATCTTCTTCAATTGGATCATCAGAATCAATTTCTGATAAGTTTTCCACTTCACCTAATTCAATTTAAAAATAAAAATTATAGTCCATTTTATAATGTAAATGAAAAAAAATAGTACATTTTTGAAAACTTGGAACTAAAACTATTAGAAGTACTAAGCTTTATACAATCAAGCAATATTTTACATTAATATAAAATTTTTTTTAGAAAAATCATATATATCTGTTAAATAAATATAATAAAATACCTTTTTTGTTGAGACAAAGTCAAAATAAAAAAGATTCCTTTTTATTGGTTAGATACTTTTTGTTTTTATGCATTAATTACATTATCATAATAAAAAAAAAACCAATAAAGTTTACACTGTTTACGGCACAAATATTTTTTGTCGTGTTTTATATTTATTATTTTTCGAGTGTAATTACTTATAATATGAAGGGCAACAGGTAATTTAAAAGAAATAGATTTTGGTGAATAATTGATATACCATAATTTTGAAATAATAATACCTGGTGGTATGTAGTCTAAATCACTCTCATCACTGCCGTCAGAAAAATCTTCAGGGTCCATTGTTAATAGTGAAGCTCAGAAGTGTTGTTGTATAATAAGAATTTAAATAGAGTTTACTGTTTAGTGATGGATTTTAAGTTTAATACGATTAAAAGCAATGTTTTAATAATAAACACGGAAAAATGAATTTGAAAATACAGAAAACTATTATTAAAAGGCTCGAAAACTAAACAAGTAAACAAGGTAAAGAAGCATTGAAGCGTTGTATTCAGAGCATTGTTAGCTTGCGGTTTGATAAGCCAATATTAAAAATTCTTAACATATGTTAAGACCAAGATTAGTTAGTGGTTTTGCTTGGGATTGATATCATCGTTATCAATAATCGAAATGATAAACATAGACCAAATTTTAAATCTACTATTTCGTTGAACAATTAACTTAAAATTGCCGTTACTCAGTATTATTGTGTGGTAAGATCGTCTCTCGAAAAATTATGACACTCAGCGACAAAAATCCAGAACTGGTTCCCATTTCAAATGTCATCGGTTTAGCATCTCAACGACCTCTTAGTACATTTCTTGGTATACCAAAATTTTTTTCAAATAGGTGTATTATTCAACTGTTAAGTAAATGTTTAAATGTTTCTAGAGATGTGGTACCAAACGTTCTTATGGGCATTGTTTTCATCTACAGTTGTTCATGCTGTGGCTGCAATAATTGCATTTGCTACACTCCATAAGCATAATTTTGGAAAGTAAGAAGACTATATTTATTTTATGTGTGGTAAATAATATTACTTTTTAACTAATAACATTTAATTCTTAATTTGATTGTATCGTGATTTTTTATTTACATAATTTATATTATTAACTTTTTCAATAATTTCCATAACTTATTTTCAGTATTGTTTTTAAAATATTTATTTATTAATGTGTAATTGTATAATTTAATATTGATGCTAGATGAAAATTTAATGGAAGTATAATATAACATATAAAATTAATCTGATCTAGTATTTGTTTATGGTCTTAACCATTATCTTTGCGTTAGTTATAATTGCTATACATGCTGAATGTAAAAAATTTAAATATATAATATATTGACAGTAACTGGAAAGATATAAGTTACTTTAAATTCCAATTATTAGTATTAATCTAAATATCTTCATATGGTTTATTAAGTCATGAAGACATAGGTAAATTTAAATTTGATCCATGTGTTTATAAGATTTTCTTGATTAAAATATATGGAAAATTTTATTTTTTTTCTAAAAATCTATAATAGACATTTTTAAAGTTGTTAATTTGTGTGTTAGAATTTCTTATTTTTATTGTATATAAACTGTCCAGATTGCATTATTTCAAAAAAAAAAAAAGTGTCAGACTTTAAAAAAGTTCATAAAATAATATAATAAACATTGGTTTTTAAATTTAATCATTATCTTATATAAAAATAATAATATAGTCATAACTAGAAAGTTATACAATTTTCGTAATTTTATAGATGTAATATGTATCATTTAAAATGCAGTTTAAACTGAGTATTTTATTCTTTATGTTATAGGTTTTTTCCTCTATTCATTTTAATGGTTGGAATATTTGCTCCACTTAGTTCCGGTATAGTGAGTAGTGCTACTATAGCATTTGTCTACCGAGCATCTAGTATTCAAATGCAACCCCTATATGCAATGTTTTGGGGAGTTGGGCAAACATTACTGTCAGCTGCTGTTGGTTTTACAAGAATATTAGCTACTTTATAAAATAATTTAAACATATTTGTATATAGTCTGTAAATACAAATGGTTGTATATTTATGTGTACCTATATATTAATAAATATTAATTGTAATATAGTATTCCTGTTAAATATTGAATAAATTGAATATTTAAATAGGTAAAATGTAAATTACATTTTTATTTTATTATCTTTTATACTAAGATGAAAACCATTTGTATATTTTAATTTATTCAAAAAATATACTTAAGGATGATAGTTATAATTTAAAGAGTAATTAAATTGAAGTCACCAAAGCCTCTATTGTTCTAATGACTAATTGGACTTCTAGTCTTAAATGAGTATGAACAATTTCAATATTATAATTTATTTATTATCTAAATATATTTTTTAAGTAGTGTTGTTACTATTATATGATCATAGGAAAAAGTGGGGAAGTGTCTTAGGGTCTTAGAGTATAAAGGGTTATGAAATTCTTGAACAATTCTAAGACAATACTTCTTTGAAATAATTGAAAATGTTAATAAATTTAATTCCTTAATTATACCTAATAATTCTAACTATAATCAATATTAAAGGAGAATAATAATTCACGTAATATGCAATATGTTTTTTATAGTATTAAGTTAGATTTATTTTTGACTTTTGTATTTATTATATTAATTATTTGTAAATTATTTTAATTTATCATTTCATATTAAGTATTCACATTTGAAAGAACAATATAATGTGTATATTTTGAATTTCCATATAAAAATAATATTAGTAAGGGGGCCTAGTTTATTTAGTGCCAAAATGAGTAAAAGCTAGTCGAGGTGATATAAGATAACAATAATATGGTATTTTTGGAGAAAAACATAAACTTTTGTAAAAAAAACTATGTTTGTAGAACTCATATATTTATATTTAGGGGAGTCAATGATGACTAAGAGGTAATGGTTCTTCTTCTAATAATAAAAATTAAACTATTAGATGTAAACGCTAATTCATATGTAATATAACTTAATATGTACAATGTACAATATAATTTATACTAAGAATAAATAACTTTTCCATCTAAGCAGATATGTAGATCTCTATGCAGGACATAATATAAATGTATTCATTCATTGTATTTAATTAAAAAAAAAAATGTTGATGCTAAGGCTTTGTGACTGTTAACATTTATTTTTAAATTAAAACAGAAGTATTAATAATGATAGAAATGTGAATTTGATTGTAAATTTTTTTTTTTTTTTTATTACTGGTCCTTTTAAGAAATGTTGATAAACCATGGATGATTATTCGGAAAATATTTTGTTTTTTACAAATAGATGCATCATTTATGTAGTTTAGTTTTATTATATTAATCATAATTACGTAGATCTCTTCTTAGAAGTAACTGGCTGAAAAATATCTCAAATATAAAAGAACTAAAATATTGAGTGAAGAAACTTATTTTAATGTTATTTACTTTACAAAAATATTAAGTTCTAGTTAATTCACAAAATGCGTTGATAATAACTTAATTTCTATTTTTTAATAAAATCATCTTCGCAGAAAAAAGTATTTATGAAATTTATTTCAAATAAAAATAAAAAATAAAAATTTTTATTCAAATATTTTAATTGATATATTGGTAAGAAATGATGTGTTAAAATATATAAAACAATAATAACGTTATTGTTTCATGTAAAAAATGTTATGCATTTTTTTTTCGACATTTCATGTGTTTTCATATTATTTTCTTTAGTTTTTATTCCTGTACTATTTTTAAATACAATATTTCTGTTTGATGGATCTTTTATTGTTTTATTATCGTTCTTCGATTTATCAATTATTAAATCGGAATTTTTTTTTATTAGTTTTTACACTTATAATTTTTTCGACATTTTTTGTTGGAACATTTTTAATAATGGTAGAACGTGTGTCATTAACACGTAATTTTATTTTGGATCCTTTGTTCAACTTTTTTTTTTTCGTAGATTTGTTTTCTTGCGATGTTTGCTCTTGCGTTTGTTCGTTAGTTGTTTGAACAGTTGAGATTGCAATTCGTTTAAAAGAATCGTAATCAAATATTTTGCAGCTATCTCCCGTGCAAAATTCAATCCCACACTCTTTACACGATAAAAATTTTGCTTCTACTCCTCCTGAAGCATTTTTCTTCTTCCGTAAAAAACTCTCGAACGGTGTTCTTTTCTCCATATTTCTCGTTTTAAGAGTAGCCGTGCCCAATTCAACTTGCCTAAAAAAAACAGTTTAGTTTAAACTTTACAACTGAGAACCAAAATTAAACTTAAAAGTGTTATTGTTATTTAGCACTCCGAATACGGTACCTATAGGTATAACGAAAGAGCTATACTTACTGATTTTAGATTCAAATAGCAATTGAAAAGTATATATATATAAGTATATAAGTAGCTCATTCTGCGATGTTTTGTTCTCTGTTTTAATATGTGTATTTTTATTATTTTTTTTTTCAGATTTTAGGGTGATTTAGCGTAGAGGTAGTCAACTTTTAAAGAATTGTGATCGACATAAATTTTTATAGGTTGACATAATCGACCAAAAAAAAAAAAATGGTTGACACTGAGTAAAAATTTATTTTTTATACATTTATGTTGCATGTTATACTTCCTTTATTTCTTTTATTTAAAATATTAATAAGTAATAATAACTTTAATTTTACAATTTTAAATCAACACGTATTTTAGTATATTTTTTATAAATATATATAAACGTGATAAATACAGTTATTTAATACGGAATATCCATTAGATTACGTACCTACATATATCTACATATCATACTATAGCTACTCGATTTCACTGTATAATTTCGTTTTTCATAGTTATTTATTAGTATATATTGCTTTAATTAATTGTTATTAATTTAATTTTAATATTCGTGGGTTGAACAAAAATATAAAAATTTAAATAAAAATAAAAATTTAAATTTGTTTCTGAAAAAATTAAAAAAAATAAATGAAAGGGTGTCACGATCGTCTGAAACTCATGTCGCGATCGACTTGTTGGCCACCCCTGGTTTAGCGTGTATTTCTGTTGGAAATATTTTTGTATTATATTATTTCCATATGTTTGTTTTGGTGTATATTTATAGTAGGGAGATAATATTTTTATATTATTTAGTTCGTATTTTCAGTACCTTAATCTCCTTAGAAAAATTATTTGATTTTTCAATATACCTACTAGCATAATATTCTACTGTAAGTTTACCGTTTAATTAATTTGTACTTTTAGTCTTCTGAAATTAATGCCTTATTCGTTGCATAAAGAAGGTATTCTATTTTTTTGTTGTATTTTACCTTGAAAAATATTCTTCGTCGATTTTTGATTTTGGGCGAAGAGAAGTAAGCATTTTCCATTGGATATTCACTGAGTACAATTCATCTAAAGAAACTCCTTTCATTTCTGAGGGCGTTGGCTCAGCAAACGGGAATGGTTTTTTTATCTCTTTTTTTGATAGTTTAAATTTGAATTTTTTTTCCTTTATTTTCATATCATCAGGTTTCTGAAAAAAAAAAATAATAATGTTCTTAAGAAATTTGATTTAAAGCTTGCTGATAAATATATTTCAATAACGTTAATATATATACATTTTTTAACACAAAAGGATCCTAATAAGTAAAACATAATACTTTTATAAATTAATACTTGTATAAAAATAAACTTCAGATAGCAAAATCCAAGGCTGGGCATTAACGAGTTAAAAAGTTAAAGTTAAGTTAAAAAGTTAAGTTACTTTTAACTAAGTTATTTAACGAGTTACTTTTATTTTCAAAAGTAACTTCCAACTTAACGAGTTTCTTTTTTTTTCTATACAACTTCTAACTTAACGAGTTAATTTATTAATTTGTCCTAATATAAATTTCATATATTTAAAATTATATTTAGTACTTACTAAGTACCTACTGTAATTAATACAATTACATATGTTTATTGAAAATAGTTAGACTTCCATTATATTGTGTTATTTGTTAAGCTTTGATAAAAATGTATGATAATATATTGTACATAAAAAAAGAAAATTAACTTATTTTTAACTAAGTTAAGTTACTTTTTTTTTCAAATTAACTTTTAACTTTTAACGAGTTAAATAAATAAGAAAACTAAATTTTAACTTTAAACTTAACTTACATCTTTCTGTATTAACTTAACTTAACGAGTTAAAATAATTAGTTAACTTGCCCAGCCTTGGCAAAATCATAAAATTAATTTGTATTTCATTATTAACCTTTTATATTAATTACATAAGTTTTATCTACTTCAAACCATTTAAAATTAAGACCACTAAATCTCAGAAAATTGTTTTCTAAAAAATAATAAATAAAAATATTAGTTAAAGTATTTGATGCTCGAAAGATTAAAAGAGTATTTTAGAAATATTCATGATGTAATATTATATCCTTAACACTTTGTTTATATGAAAATTACGATTATTGTTAATAATTAAATTTTTATTAAGATAATACTTTTTCTGGTTTTATCTTGAATTCAGGCACTTTTTCGACTAGCTTTCTTAATTCTTCTTTTGAATTGGCTGTACAGTTGTGTAAGTCTAGTAATGTGGTCTGTTCTTTCTTTTTAGCAAGAAACTCCTCAATCTGAGAAGCCATGTTTTCTTAAAGTGAAGTGAAAACAATGCATCCAAATATTTTTTTTTATACTCTAATAATGTTCACACATTATGCAGACCTGTTAACATAAGATATGACTAAATTACTAGGCTGTTACATTATCAGCATACGGAATAGTAATTTTTAATTAAGTAACAAAACAGGCTAAACTATACATCACATTTATAAGAATAATATAATTATAATTATTATTAAATAATGTACAGAATTTTGTACAAACAAATTAATATTTCCTAACAACAACTTTGAATTTAAACAATCATAGTAATAATTGTTTTAATACGCTTGGAAAATTCTACATAGTTTCCCTTAAAGTTTTTAATAAAATGTATTAAATTAATGATTTTATAGTCGAGTACCTAGTATAATAAAATAACAGAATAAGTATTACTCTTAAACACATTTCTTCAAGTTGGGAATAACATCAATAAATATAATATAGACAGAGTAAGTAAGTAATCCTTTGGGTACGTTTGCACAAACGGTTGCCAAAAAACTTAAAACTTTTTTGCACGAAGAGTCCTGTAAAAAATACCACTAATATCGTACGTTAACTTACATAATACTCGAATAAAATTGTATAACAAAAATTATTTTTAAAACTTAATCTTAAAAGGTAGAAAAATAATATATTCTGTGGATATTAATATATTTAATATTAGATCAAATATAAATATACGTTTAATAAACATTGTTTATGCATTGAATATAATTATTATCTACTTTATATAATATAAATTATATATATGTATAAACTATGTAATTTACTAAAAATAAAAAATAAATATTTTGGCCTTATGATTTTTATTGATTATGTATTAAATGTTCTCAAATAATTGTTTAATATTAACCACTAAACAGTTATAATTTATTTTTTAATATACGATTATTAATTATTAAGTATAATTAATAATATTAATATATTGTAATTTGAAAATGTAAACATAAAACTACAGAGGCTTGTATTAATATGATAATTAAGAAACCTAAAAGCGAGTTTTCCAAGTGTAATTAAAGAAATACATTTCATATTTTACCTATTCAATAAAAATCTATTAATGTATTATATTGTAATTTTTGATTGAATAGCAGTAGGTTCTTTTATTTTAAATAGTAGTCATATACATAAATAAAAAAAATTCGAGAAAATAACGATTCCGTAAACATTTAAATACGTATTCCATATGTTTAATTTTAACAGAATATTGGTTACCCACCATATGTATATTAATAGCAAAACTAAAATAATAAAAAAGAAGAGCTTTTATAGATGTAAGTTTTTTAGTTTTTTAGTAATTTATTTACGTTAATATTTCAAGCAATTATTTCACTGTAAATATTTTGAAAAAATCTTTTAATAAATATTAATGGGAAAAAGAATTGATAATACATTTTTTCGACTGTGTCATCGACTCTTTAAATAATAATTTGTATGATTTATTATTGTAATAAATCATGAAGAATCCGAAGACGGGGATTCGTCAGCAATAACACTCTTCCAATGTTTTCGTTTGGTTTCTAATACCTGCAATCATATATAAATATAAATTTCGTAAACATAAAAGTTTTCCAATTAGTTATATATGTTTATATTTAATTTTATAATTATTGATTTCAAATACTATAACGGTAGTTGGCGCAGATAATATAATATACGTGTTCTTAATTTAACTGGTACTTGGACAGAAATTAGTACTGAGACCTCAGTACAAGTGGGCTATATTCAATTGTGATTTTCAGCTAGCCTTCAGAAATTTAATGTTAGTTGTTCTAACTTTTATTCCTTAAATTTACTCTTAGGTATATATTTATTTTGTGGCCGATCTTAATATTTTCGACATCATAAATATAATGAGCTTATATTCTAGTTTATTTTTTAGAAATTAAATATTTCATAATACAGGTAGTATAGGACAGAAATCCAAAACACTATTGATCTTATTAAGTGGTATAGTTGAATTTTAATATGTTAATAAAAATAAAAGTCCAATACATTTTTATTTGAAAACATGGTTTTTATAAACATGGTTTATTACTTACTTTTCGCAATGAAGATAACTGATATAGCACATCGCTAACCGATATACTATCCATCAAAGGTGTTTTATTTGAAACTCCTTTGCTCATATTCATTTCTATAACAATATAATTATGCTGTTCTATACTTATGTACAATTATAATTTAAATTTAAATGTTCACACACCAGCAAAATTTGGTCGGCCATATGCAGACATTTTTTTGGAATAATTATCTGGTAACGAATAGTTTCTATGAACATGCAAAACAAAATTATTAAGAAATATTAATAATAGCTTATTTTTATTTTTGTATTTTACCCAGCTCGTCCGTTAATAATATCTGATTGACTTTTTGCCGAATCGGTATTATTCGTACGTCTGCTCCACGAAGATTTTTGTTTCAATTTTAATTGATAATTGGGATCTTTGGCACTTTGTTTGATGTACTGGACTTCTGGTCTGTTCACTCCCCACTTCGGTCTTTTGTCCAAATCTATCGATTTTTGGAAAACATTTCCAATCGTTTTTGGTTTTCTAAATAATAAAAATAATATTACAAAGTAAACTTAATTAAATTTCTAACGGTATTGTTCATTTTTAAGTTTACTTTAATAACTCCGTTTGTATTGCAACACTAGTAGTTTGACTCCGAAATTTGCTAGGTGTTATTAATTTTTGACGATTGGTCGGAGAAAGTGAAGTCTGAAGTATTGAGTCGACTTCCGGTGATTTAGAAATTTCTTTTAGTTGCTCTACTGGTAGTTCCGATACGTTTTGTTCTCGTGTAGGAAGTTCTGAGCAAGTTATATGTTCGTCGTTACTGCCAACAACCTTTTCTGGAATTTCTTCTTTTATTTCATCTTGATTTTGACGTTTTTTTTTGCATGTTTTTTGATTTGTCTTCCTTTGCTTGTTTTTGAGCATTTTCCAAAACTTCTTGCATTGCTTTGGCTTTGCGCTCGTCACACAACTATTAGGACAGAATGATAGAATAACAAATAAAATGTTTAAAAGAATTTAACTATGTATTAGTTTTAGTTGTTTTAATATCTATGAATCAACTATTATACTTCTTTTTCTCTCTGTCGCCTAAATTCATCTTCTAATCGTTTTCTTTCGATTTCTTGCTGTTTCTGTATTCGTCGTTCTTCGGCCAAATCATCCTGTTTTTTCTTTTCGATTTCTTCTCTTTTTTTTAACTGTCTTTCTCTTAACTATAAAAATGTAATATGATGTATAACTGATGAATCAAATAAATAATTTGGCTGTTCACCTGTTGTTTAATCGCTTCTTGAAGTTCTATTGCTTTTTGTCTCTTTATTTCTCTAGCGGCCAACTCTTCTGTGGTTAATGGAATATTTTGGCCCAACAAGTAAGTCCTATGATTAAAATTAGCTCATTGGTACATGTAAACAATTCACAGTTACATTTAATTTAATAAATATTTCTTTAATTTTGTCTAAGGAGGAATCAGCATTTTTAAGTAATTATTTTTATTTTTGAAATAATGAAAGTTTATGGAGAAATGAAAACATTTTTACCTGTTATTAACATTGTTCGAATCTAATGGACACAATGTATCAGAGCTGCCTCTGAAATCCGGAACTTTGCGAATTCCTTCAGGCTGTGCTTTTCCATTTTCATTGAGAGTAGAACTATTTGAAGTATAATGTTTATCATACACATTTTTTGTGGTTTTTTAGATATTTATAATGCAAAATATTACGTACAGGTACGAGTATATTACCAAATCAATCCATCCATATTTTTATACTAAATTATATATTCTTTTATGTTACCTTTCATTAATTACATCACATAAGATGCTAATAAAACAATTATATTTAATACACCCCAACGAATATTATTTATTTATGTGTATCTACTCAACTACATGTTAAATGGTTTTAATAATTAATTAATTACTGAATTAAGTATTTTAATTTATAAATTTCAATATGAAATATTTGTGAAATAAGTTGTAATTTAATGATTTATTCATATAAATAATAGATTATAATATTGTAAATAAAATAATTCAAATTTATCATTTCTATTTTAATAGTTTTTATACATTACTTACGGTTTTTCTGGTGAATACTCAATCCAAGCCGGTGTTTCATTATTGTTTTCATTTGTAAAATACTTTCTCTCATTTGAATTGAAGTTTGGAGAATTTAAAGCGTTACACTGTTTATCCCATTTTTGTCTTTCTAATGTGCCTTGTACACTAACACTGTTTTCTTTTGATATTGTATACGTTCGATTTAAGCTTTTCAAATCACATAAATTATAATTTAATAAATTTATAGCGAATGTATCATTTTTTTCTACTAAGAAATTTATAAACCTACATAGTGTGAGTACTTTTCGGTTTGAATTCATCCGTTACTCCGTTTTGGTTATTGTTATTTAAATTTTTTTCCATTTTATTGATATAAATATTCTATACAAGCAAAATAGTACTAATCAGATTATATAAAAAATATATTTATATAGGTTAATGTTTCACACAACAATTTATAAAAAAATAATAACTATACACTAAAATTAATAATATTGTACTATCTTACGTTCTGTACATTTTGTTTTTGATTTTCATGTGAAATCGGGGGAAAACTTAAATTATTTTGGGATTGAATATCTTTGCTTAAGACATAACGATCATTTTCATTAAAACGCTGTACTTCCTTATTAATAATATGGTCCCTGAAATGGAACAATTATTTAATTTACATTTAACTGGATTCATGTGCACTCATCAACAGAGGAATTGATCGTTGTACCTTTGATCGTTGAAAACAATCGGTGTTTTTGGATTTTTCCAGTATCCATTAAGTCTTACGAGTTCTTCTGAAACGCAGAGAACGGTAGTTACAAGGAGACTAACTTTTGAAAACAAATGAAACTGACCGAACCTAATTAAAAATAGCTTACCTTTTTCTTTTGCCCATTGCTGTTTTTTCAGTTCGACTAATGATACCGATTTCACTACCATATTAATGTCGGTAGAAAAATATTTTCGATCATGAAAATATATTTGTTTATCTGGCTACAAAAAGAAAACAACTACGATACCTTAAGTCATACAAAGAAACACGATACTGTTCCGTCTTAAGACTGCACGAAAATATGGGGTCAATAATCTTACACATATTGACCATATTATAAGTAGTCATAGTAACCATTTGTTGACATTATAAACTGTACAAACTCGCTATGAATATTTTGCACAAAACAATTATAGTATTTGTATAATATGAACATTAAAATATAATTTATACGCTTATGAATATTTAGCATTAAATATAAGTATTATACTGTCAAATTTCCTATAAACTAAGTACACCATGTAGTAGTCTGTACTTTGGCTAACGTTACCGAACAAGCGAATAGCAAAATATGTTGTCACCTTATACAGAATATAGGTCAGTGATGAGTGACATTTTGGTGCCGAAATGAGTTGACATAAAAAGAATGGTTGCGATCAGTTCCTAGAGTACCTATATGGTGTATTATTATACTCATGTGGCGGAACGAAAAACTGGGAAGAAAGACAAGGACACGTATTTAGGAAAACGGATATTTTATAAATAGTTGATCAATTCATTTTAAATGATGGGTTTATCTTGTGACAAAGAACACGAAGAATGACACATGCAACTGATTGTATATTGTCTTATATTTATACAATATTATAATATTTAACTTTGTATAATTGTCAATTAAACAAAGTTGAATAATTATTAATTGGTCGCTCTGCAACGATATGCAGTATTTTCTGAAATAGCTGTCGAATAAAATAATATTATATAATTTACAGTATAAGTTTCATACAGAATGGAAAAAAACAAGATTATAAAATAAGATTATTTTTTGTATACATAATAATAACCGGGGTAGGTTCAAGTAGAGTGGGTGAACATTATTATTTTCACATTTTTAATGATTCGTTTAAACGTTTAATGGACTTTTTTGAATAAAGGTCCAATACATTATTACACAGGAGCTTTGTTATGTAGTAGTGTGGTATTGATATAATGTATTCGTATGGAACGCTAATTAGTATTAATTTTATTTATTCGTCATATCACAATGAAAATATCAAATAATGTTTATGCTATTTTGTTCACATACTCTTAGAATAATAATTATTGAATCTTAGACAAGTCTTAGTATAAAAATAATCGATCTAAAATTATTTTAAGAGATAGGTAATAAATAAAACAAAAAGATTAAGAACAATTTATGTAGTTATTAATGGTTATTTAATTAATCATTTCCAATAATTTTTTTATTTATTTATTATCTATCTCTTAAAATAATTTTAGATCGATTATTTTTATACTAAGACTTGTCTAAGAATCATTGGAAAATTAAATTAATTTGTTACTATTTTTAACAGATTTCCCCAAAGATTTACTCATAAAAACTGATCAAATACATTACCCATTACTATGATACTTAAAATATTGGTTTAAAAGTTGAGAAATATTTTTAAATTGTTGTTGATTAAAAATGTAAACAATTTATTAAGTTCAGTAAATTTTTCCTTACAGGGTAATCAATGTAGGTAAAAATATTGATTTTTTTACTTTTTCTATGTTTAAATTTAAAAAGTAAATAATTATTCTAGTGTAAGGGATTCTACTACTTATAAAATTGTTTTTTAAAGAAAAAAACTACTAACAGAAACTATCAGAACTACTGACAGACGAATTCATGTTTCTTTTCCCATATAATCTCAAATTGTGTCGATTAGGACATGATACGAGTATATATAGAGACATTGCTAAGTACATAATATGAGTATAATATGATAATACCTATAGTATCAATATTTTTTCGTGAAGTAAACAAAATTCGATATCGTGTCCATGGCATGTGCGGTGTACTATCGGTAAACATATGTTAAATTTAAATTATATACAACTATATACAAAGATGGGCATTAATTATGTAGTTTATTTTATAATAAAATTTTTAACTTGACTAGTTTAATTGATAGTTGAAATAACTGAGCTTTTCACAGTTGATTTAAAAATAATATATCAAGTTAAAAAAATTTGAAATTTTTTGTTTCTACATAAATATTAATATGAAAATTAAATCATTATGTAAAGTAAAATGGTCGCATACACTATACATCAGATATAATATTAGATTTTGTAGGTTGAGGGCCCATCTTTGGGTATTGGATTCTGGTTGTGGATATAGAATGTTATGTATAAAGAATTTGAACTATAAAGATGAATAAATAGGGTAGTGAGTGGTCCCTTGATGTACTATGTCTTAGTATTTTTCAAAAATTTCGTCGCTTCTGCTGTAAATGATGATAAAAAATTAAAATAACTATACACATTTTTTTTAGGTTTTTTTTGCAAATTTTGCAATTATATCATCAAATGTGAATTGTTTGGTAATATCTTAGTTGATTGCAAGTAATGACAATGAATCTTGTCTTTCTTGGATTAAAGACGAGCGCATGTGAGTTGTAATACTTTTAAAGGTAGAAAATGAACTTTCATTTCTACAAATCGTGCATGGCATTGACAAATATATTTGTAATATATTGTCTACGTCATTGACGTACAGAGGGCGGATTTGAGACTGAAACCTCCCAAAAAAATATTTTGTACATTAGATAATATTGTAGCTTCCCGTTTTGTCACTAATAATTAATATTACCATGATGAATGATTATTTTTTTCCAAATTTGATTAATATGTTAGATACACATTTATAGTTCAATATAATAGTACATGATAACGTGTTTGTGTTTGTGGCAATCGTCGATTAAATATTTAATTGAAAATCATTTTTAGATTTATGGATACTAGTGTACTCTACACACTAGTGATTACTATGTGGTAATAATAATAAAAAAAAAAATGATTATTTGAAAATGAATGGTAATGATATACTTGTATATAAGGAAAATATTAAAAATTGGTGAGCTCCCAAAACAAAAATCTTGGGGATATTTTTAAGACTTAATGTCGGGAAATGATTTTTTAAATCTTAAAACTGCATTGATTCACTTATAAAATTATCAGTACCTTAATCATCTGAATATGTATTTAGTATATATGTTATAAACATTATTTTATTTCTGATCTATCAATAAGAGAAAACCAAAAGGTTTTTGATAAAATAAATGGTATTTATAATAATAACAATTCAAGGAACAAATATTATCTAAGCAAATTTTGTTTTAGTACCTACTCGATGACACATTTTAGATTATTTTATTATATAACTGTTCAGGTCGAGGCCGAAGACAAGAAACGGAGTGACAACAGAATAATAATAATAATAGTAATAGACATAGTATAGATAAATGATAAATGAAGTAATAAGAAAATAGGTAGAAGACCTGGTTAGAGATACTTTAGGGATAGTTAAAAGTATGGGGTCTTAATGTGCATGACGCATCACGGTAAATAAGTGAGTTTAATAAATAGTTCGATGAAGAAAAAGGAATACGAAAAACAGGGATGTTTCTAGTGTCTCTGCAATATATGTACATTGTGTATATGTTGACGTTGTGTTCGGTTTTCAAGTCGTAAAACTATCCAATAAAATTCATCGGTAAGCAATCGGTATTTTAAGCCAATCGAAACTAAGTTGATACATCCATCCAGTCCGAACACTGAAAACTTTGATTTCCAGACGGTGCGCTGAAAATCGATTATATATGTACTGTAAAAGTTTCCCACCAAAAACCGAACGCGCTTCGTTCTCGGATTGTATGGAACGAGCAATATTTCGGTGTTCCCGGACGAATAATTTTACCGTAAGTCGGAGATGGGGGGGGGGGGGGAAGGGGGGCGATATGTTGTGGAAATATTCTGGTACGAAATCCAACCGTTAACCACCGTCGCACCGGGCCTGTATGGTACACGGACGCGGTATTGTACGTTCTCGCCGCGCCCGTACCGACGTGGTGGGATGAAATTTCATCGGCAACGCACGCCGTTCCCAGGCGGCGGCAGCGCACCGCGTGTCACAGGTGTTCGTCGATCGCCGTTACGGGTACGGGCGCGTCGGCGAGCCTCGTGCCGGGACGAGCGCCGGCGTCGCGTGCGTCACACGCCGTTTCGCTGACGATAAGTGCCCGGCGGTGTTCACTGTCCCCAAACGTTCAGTCCTCGCAAGCGCAGCCGGACCCACAGTCGACCCGTACGGTACCGCCATCCGTTCCGGACGTGGGTTTTTTTTTGTTCCCCTCCGCCCTTCAACAACGCCGCCGATCGTCAATCGATCTCTTCCCGCGTCGCCCGACCGACACGCGATCGGGTCACGCGCCAAACATGTCCTGCACGAGTCACCGGCAACCGGACTACAGCAACGCGTACGCGACCGGCGGATGCCGCGACCCGGCCACGTACGGCTGCTGCAACGACGACTCCAACTGCAGCTCCCCGTGCTCGTCGTCGTCGTCGTCAAGCGACGGTTGGCCGAAGGACGTCGGCAACGTTTCGCCGTCGGCCAAGGACGAGAAGGTTCGCGCGGTCCAGGGCAAGTGGTTGAAGATGCTGTGGACGATGATCGACCGAGCGGATATGCCGGCCGAGCACAAGACGCGCGGCGCCAAGCATTCGACACCGCAACACCCGGTCAAGACCATTCTCCGACCGCCCACCGAGTACGTCTACGTGATCGGCATGTCCGGGCTCCCGTCCAAGGTGGCCGTCTACCCGAAGCGGACGTAAATCGTCCACCGCCTCCTCCTTCACACCAAAACCTACCCCTAGGTGTGGCCCGCACGACCACATATGCAGCAGCCGCAAACAACACTCGACCGGCCACCAAAGGCGTCCCGTGCATATCTCCTGTCGTCATCGATCTCTATCATTTTGATCTCGCACCACATCCACCTTCGTTGATGTATAATGTACACACACACACACACACACACACAAATGTACAAATCATCTTCTACGTATACCGCGTTATATTTCTGTTTATATTGAGCCACTTTAAGGTTAATATAAATATTTTTTTATTCAATTATTTTTTTTTTATATCCAACCATTTACCAAATCGACTATGATTTTGGAGTTAAATAAATGTAATTCGACAAAGATCTATTTTTATATCAACGAAGTCTGTATTAAATACAAAACATGTAAACGACTAGTAATATTCTACTCGTATATTAATGATATAATAATTTTGTATATGTATTATATATATATATATATATATATATATATATATATCTGTTGTTAGTATATTATTTCCTTTGTTATTGACATAAAAGTTAAAAAGAATTAATAATTAAATACACATATTAGTTCTTGATTTCAAATGATTTCAATGAATAAGATATAATTACATTTAAAACATCAATCGTGCTTTTACGCTGCTATTTTACTTTGTTTAATCTGTTATAATTGCGTTTGAAATACTATTGTATATGAAATAACTCCCGTCGATATTATTGCATAAGTGAACTTTCCCGAAACGTGATGTTTTACATGTAAATTTCGAATTTTATAACATAATGACAATTTTAGTTTAATTCCTTAACGTTTATCATTCATTTAAAATGAATTTGACATTAAATGTCATCGGCAGACAAATTAAATTTTTACTGTATAATGAACGTCAATTTTTACTATGTTTCATTTTATATACATTTGTAACAATTTTATAATTTATTTAGAATTAATTGAATTGATTTATATTAAGATACAAGAGAGATTCGTAGAACTGAAATGTGAAACATTATTATGATCTACACCAAATAGCTTTCGCGTGACAACCACGTAAATCTCAATAAACCTGTGATTTTAGTGTTTTGTATGAATTAAATATTTACACTTGGACAGATAAGTTCCAATAAAAATATATATTATCATGTGGAATCATTGATTTTTTTTTATTTGTAAAATCAGTAACATCCTATTTTTTACCACGATGTATTACTAATTCAGTAGAATCTAATACATTTTCCGTGACATGTTTGAAAGATGTACTTTAGAACATAAATGTAACAGCATACATAATTATGATTTCACATCGAATGTAAAATGCATTTTTTTAAAAAAGAAAACAAATGAAAAATTATATTTTCATCGTAATGAGTGATTTATAATTGTCTTAGCGATAAAAAAAGACTTAATAATTGTATCATATGAATTAGGATTGACACATGCGATTTATTTTCAATGAGTGATCTTTAAGAAATTTAAATCTAAATTAATTTAAATTCAGAAGAAGATGATTTTATCTAAAATAAAAGAAAATACGTAGTAATGACTAAGAATAAAATGAATAGTAAAAACGTGATCTATTTTTCATTATATTTACTGAACAATAGTGGTAATGGACTTCCGATACGTATACGTGTATAAGTATAATTACTATATGCCAAAAGTGAGCAATTTTCAAAAGAAAAAAATCTTGATCTAGTATATCAGTCAGTTTATTAGTTTGAAAATAGAAAATTTAATTCTTCAATAGTAAATAGTTCATATTTACGAATAACCCTGGACTAAATTTGGTAATATTTTTTTAATAAGTACTAATATTTAAAAAATAATGTATATATTTGCTACTTTTAATTTTCTAAATAAGAAATTTTTTATTCACTATTAAAAGCAACATGCAATCTGCTGTACTTATTTACTGAATAATTTCGTCTTACCTAAATAAATCAAAATTGCATACACGTACATATAACAAGGATAGTTAACCTAACCTGGTTATAGATATAATAATATAAATAGAATCATAGGTTATATGCTATGTATTACAAGATATATTTCTTAAAATTTAATGGAAATAGAAGATTTTATTTTTTTATTTTTATTTTGAACTTTTGTTTTAAACAATTACAGAAATAAAACAGAAATATTGATAATAAAAGATAAAAATATAACTAATAATTAAATGATACAATTTAGATATGAAAACTGTCTGGACCATTTATTATTCTGACATTAAAATTAGTGCAAATTAAATAATTAATAATAGTTTAATTATTTTATTTATTTTAAAGTCATTGTGAAAAAAAAATCTTTCAAATTTTGCTTATAATGTAGTACATTACTCGTACATTACCTTTTATTTATTGAAGGTTCATTAGATAATAAACTAGTTGGAAACATACAATTTGGTTGTATATAATTATTTAATAAGTACAAAGTCTATAAATTCTAATCCATCTTGATCTGGACAATCAACCACTAGCTCAACAAAACCATCTTAAACTATTTGATTAGGAAGATATGGTAGACCAAAAATCATTTTTAATTGTTTACCTAATACACTCGTGTCATTCGAGTATGCTGTCTTGAATTTTTTATTTGCGCTTATTCGTAAAAATTGTTATATGTAAGTATTTTATTGAGTATAGATGAAAATTAATTTACAAAGTACTTACATAAAGCTCCCAAAATTGATTTAAATGGATACGACATCCAATAAGTTGTACATTATGAAAAACTTCCCTCACAGCCTCATGTGCTCCTATTTAAAAATCGATATATATTTTGCATAGATTAAATGTTTGATATGTGTATTGTAAATATAATTCTTTTATGCATTTTCACATTTCAATGTATGTATGTTTAAATATATCTTTTAAAAAATAACTTGAATAGGTTATACCTGTCAAGTATAACGTTGAGTGTGAGGATGTTTTTATAAGGTATATAGTAGTGAGGACAACGTTAATCAAAGTGTTTAAGAATAAGTTATAAACATAGAACTAGAAGAAACGGGATTAAAAATAACTTATAATATAAAAAATAGAATTGCATCTATAATCTCTATATATAAAAAAATGGAGCCAAAAAATGTATAACATTTCACTAATTGAGAATGGCTGGACCGATTTGGCTTAATTTTTTTTTAAATTGTTCGTAACTGCCAGGAGAAGGTTTTTTACGAAAAAAATTGCTAAAAAAGTGCTATTGTTCAATAAATCATAGTTTAATTTAATAATTTTTGATCCGGTCGATAACGGCGTAATTGAAAATGAATGATTAAATGATACTATTAAAAAACTATTAAAAACTATTTAAAAACTATTAATTTTATTTTTGGTATTTAATGATGGGTATTGCATAAATATTAAACAAGATTTCGCAACAAGTGCCAAAACATACAAAAAAGTTAGTTTGAAGGATTAATATGCATATCAGTTGATGATTAGATGCGATCAAGACAGCGTTATTCGTGAACTTGGTGAACAATTTATGGTCGACATGTATGTAAAGATAGAGAGCGAACGATTACAATACTTGCGATTCACTCAAAAAAAGCTGTGTGCGGAAGATTCTCAAAACAATTGTTAGATATCGGTGATGGAAAAATTACTACAGATGAAACGGGATGCATATAATTACTGACCAATTTCTGCACAATCATTGATTTGCAAGAAGCTTTCATTGACCAGATATTTCCCAATCTATACAGACAATACACAAATCATGAGTGGCTGACAGAAAGAGCAATTTCAGCAGCAAAAAATGTGGACGTCAACGAATTGAACCTCAAGATACAACATATGTTACCAGGAGACTTGGTGTCATACAAATCTATTGATACAGTTTGCGATGATACTGAAGTTGTAAATTATCGAACACAGTTTTTAAACTCATTAGATTTACCAGACATGCCACCGCATAATTTACAACTGAAAGTTAGATCTCCGATTATTTTGCTTCGTAATTTGAACAAACCACGATTGTGCAACGGCACGCGATTAGTCATTAAAAAATTAATGAAAAATGTTATCGAAACCATAATTTTAAAGGCAAATTCCGAGGTGAAAATATATTATTACAGTGAATCCCTATTACACCCATAGATGTGCCAATACAATTTAAACGCCTTCAATTTCCAATTAAATTGGCATTTGCAATGACTATCTATAAGTCTCAAGGCCAAACGATGTCTGTCTGTGGCTTAGATTCGAGCACATCATGTTTTTCACACGGAAAATTATACGTGGCGTTCTCTCGAACCATCCAGTTTGTTTGTGTTGGCGAAAGATTGGATAACAAAAAATATTGTACACTCTGTTGCATTAAGGGATTGATATTGTTTTTTACTAATATTGTCATAATTAGTGATCAGTGGCGTATCCAGGGGGGGTTAGGGGGTTATAACCCCCCCCCCCCCC